AAAAAAGTTTGGGAACTTCTATGTTAGAGAGTTGCAGGCTAGTGTGCTGTCGGTTTACACCGGTTTGCCACACACTAACTGGCCATCTGGACAAGTCCTTTAACATGTGTATTCGCCCATTGCAGCCAAAGATCCTTGTTCCCTCACCGTACCAATGGGCCACTGTATTTGCTCTTTATTCCCAACTGCTGTTCCACGGCAGTCGATTCATGATTCACTTTCACTTCCTGTCCCAGATTGGTTTTTGTGCAGTGTCGCTGTGTGGCTGTTTGTCAGCTGTCACGTCCCATCCCAGAGGTGGCTGCATTGCAGAACTAGGTTAAAAGCAATTCTGTGGGTGGGGACAACAGCTACTGGGCTAGATGGGCCCATGAGTCTGATCTGGGGTGGCAGGTAGCAGGTGGGGTCCCAGGCTAGATGGGCCCATTGGTCTGATCCAGTTCTCGTCCTAGCTCCCCAGGGCTGTATATCTATTAACTGTGTCCATGGGTGAATCCATGACAAAGGGGGCAGGATCCATTTTCCCCACTGCCCCATGCAGAGCTCAGCAGCTGTCACTCGCACTGGGCTATGAGGAGATTCACCCATGGGGGGCTCTGGGCTGTGGGTGACTTGCCCTCTCTCACTTGTGCTCTCTGGGCTCCAGGAAGAACCCGTGTCTCACGCCTCCAAGGCTCACACTATGCTCCCGAGTGAGGGCAGCCAAAGCACCAGGCGAGCTGCTGGGCTGGACACCACACGAGAGATTGCAATGGCCCATCCCCTCCTCTCTCCATCTCTGCATAGGCCCAGCTTACTGGGGGGCCATGCAGGGGCAGCAGCATCATTGCCCCCATGGCAGTGAGCTCCTGTCTCTTTAGCCAGGTCTTGGGAACTGGACGGGACTTTGTCTGGGCTTAACCAATGGCTCTGATGAATTGCTGGGGAGAGCCTGTGAGGGGCACTAGGACAGATCGTGCTCCCGCAAGGTCAGCCTCAGTCCTAGGGCATCCAGTCCCCCCAGCTATGTGGGCTCCGGGCATCCCCATCTAAGGCGCGAATTCCCCCTCCCACCCTGGAAGTGGCTGGAGGGGGTGAGGCCCACCTGGGCACCCCACTCTGTAGACAGGAATGGCCGACCCCCATGTGTCCCCAGCTATTTTCCCCATCCCTAGGCCAGCTCTCCCCAGTGCCTGGATGCCAGCAGAATCTGCTTTCCACACATCAAACCCTGGATGGTTTTTCCTCTCCTGTGATTGGCTGCTTGCCTCTCCCCCACCTGCCAATCACAATCCTATGTGCAATCACTGCTGACCTTATTCTCTCGGATTGGCTGTTTGCTCCACCCCGTTCCCCCATCATAGCCATGTCCCCACTGCTGAGTTCACTCTCTTTGCCTCCGTCATACTCCTTTTCCTTTGCTGTTACATCCCTCCTCTCTTCCTCACATTTTCTCACTCCCTTACTCCAGTGGACCCATTCGTTCCTGCCGTCCCCCCCATCCATGCCCCTGCTTTGCCTCTTCCTACCACGGCTCCACCTCTTCCCCCAAGTCCTGCCCCGGCTTGCTCCTCTCTGCCCGCTTCCTTCTCTCCCCTGTTGCTCATACTTAAGGCAGGAAAAAACTGAGAAGGTATATTCTGCGTGAGGGGGTTGTGCAGTGGTATTCTGCATGTGCGTGGGTGGGTGGGTGGGTTGTGCAGGGGGGTAGTGTAGGAAGGGATGGATAGGGGGTGAGTGCTAGACAGCCGCATAGCCTGATTCTAACCCCTCCAGAATTTGGGAGGCAGAATGGAGTTTGGCCCAGTCCAAAACCTCAGATCGAATCTTTTCTTGCCAAAGAGGGTGAGGGTGTGAATTAAATCAGGCAGTGGTGGGTGGTGTCTAGAGTGCGTGGTGGGGTTGCATGTACACCCCCCTCCCCGGCCACTGCTCTCCACCCTTGAGCTCCTACCATCTTTGCTGGATGAGCAACATTTCTCCCTCATCCCTGCTTCTTTCTCTACCAAGGTCTGGATTCCTCCTGGTGAAGAAGCAGATAAGGGGAGAGAAGGGACTCTGGGTCCCAGAGAGAGGGGCAGGGCCCGCCCAGGGGTGGGGAATCACAGAAGTGTAGGACTGGAAGGGACCTCCATATATCATCTAGTGCAGTCCTCTGTACTCAAGGCAGGACTGGACCATCCCTGACAGGTGTTTGTCTAACCCAAATGTGGGAGCTGGATTGAGGGGCTCCCATGGGCTAGGAGAGGAGGCCAGCAAGATCCCAGGGTGTGGGGTGGCCTCAGACAAGAGGAAGATCATCCCCCAATTTGACCCCTTGACTTCGAGATCTCTTCTGTTCCAGTGAGTCAGCCCTTGTGCTCTCTCTCTCCCACTTGCTCTCTCTTGCAGGTGTGGGTACCCGAGTGCAGAAGCCGTCCACCAGCCCCAGCCCTGGAGCTAAACGTGAGTTATAAATCACCCAGTGGGATTAACCCTTAGTGAACCACACTGAGGGGCTGTGCAGGGGAGCAGGCTGAACCATGCACATGGACAGTGGGGTCAGCACATCCCCTTGCTCGTCGGGAAGGGAGGGTGAGTTGAAGCACAGCTTGTCCGGGAGCTCCTCCGGAGCAGGGTGGCTTTGCCCCAGCTCAGGGCTCTGGCTAAACAGCCCTAGGTAGAAGCTGAAGGAGCCTGGCACCCAAACCCAGTGTTTCAGTGGGGTGTTTTTATGTCCCTTGGCTCAGAGGAACATTTTGTGGAGCGGCATCGGGAGCAGCTGATTCAACACGCCTCTTCAGTTGACACAATCCTGGGTGTGCTGAGGTGGAGCCATTACCCGTTGGACGCGATGCCGCCGTCCGTGGGGCTGGAGACAACAAACAAAAGCCTCCCTGAAGAGCCAGAGGGTAAAATCAAATAGGGGAAAATGACTTCCCACTGCACCCCCAGGGGGCTGCACCCCAAGTCCCTCCCACCAGGGTCACTAGCTAGGGTTGCCAACTCCCCCGGACCAGACGCCATTTTGTGGCAACAGTGTCCTCATTTTCAGCAATGGCGTTTTACCTGCTCAGGGCTGTGGCCAAAGAGCACCAAAAACGACCAAAAAAAGGTGAGGGTGGGGAAGGACCGGGAACCAGAGGAGTCATATTTGGACTGAGAGATGGTTTGGGGCACACAGAGCAACAAGTAGCCACCGGAGACTTCCCTCACTCCTCAAAGTACCCTTTAAATGTGGGCATGTCTGCCTGATTTGTGTGTGTGGGGGGGGGCGGGAGGGCTCTGGGTCTCCTCCCTGCTTTGTGCCCACCCACGAGGAGGAGGCAGCACTACAGTTCCTGGGCTCCCCCACCCCTGCAGGATCTGTGCTGCTTTCTGCATCCCAAGAGCCAGCCCCAGCAGTGGGGGGAGGGGAACAGACAATGGTTTGGTCCAGGTGAGCACTAAGTGGGGATTCACTACAGGAGGAGGATGCTTTATGGGGAAAACTCTTTTCATTGTTTCCTCCCCAGCCACAGAGGAGGCAGAGTTGTGGGGGTGGGGGGATAAGTGGGGAGGAGGAACGTGACCACCCCACCCATTTCCCTGTGCCAGTAACACATGATCCCTAAAATGTTAGTTCAGGATTTATTTTCAATGACATCTCAGAGAAACATTCTCTCAATTGGTTTAAAAAAGCATCGAAGCGACGTACTGGCAGGGGTGGACTCCTCCGGAATTGGCTGTACATACTGAACGATGAGCAATACCAGACGATCAGAGCTGAGAAAACCAGCCAGGAGAAGATGCGGAAACTGTACGAGCTGGTGCCGGGCTGGGACAAACTGCAGAAGTACCGGCTCTACCAGGCGCTGATGGAAACAAACGGAGACCTGGTTGAAGAGCTGGAGGGTAAATAAATGACATCAGGGAAATCTGTTCCCCATGCTCCCCATCATGAACCCTGATCCCATCCCAAGGGGGACACTAGATCACCTCTCTGGCTGTTCATCCCTCGCCCATCACTGCAGCATCCGAGCTGGGCACGGATTATTACGCCACCCTCACGACACTATAATGTGCAGTGAGCCTGTGGGAGCGTTTGCTCCCCTGGGCTGAGATTATTTCAGCATTTGGTGCTGTCGGGTCCATTCCAGACAGAGCCGGCTCTGGTTGCACAGCGCAGAGCTGGGCTGCACATTGCCCTATAGGCTGGGGCTCAGTTCTGCAGGCAGCTCCGCTTCCCATCCATGGGAACTACACATGCACTCGTCCTGGCTGGATCAGGACCCTGGGTACTTTGGCTTGTTATGTAGGTTGGGGTATTTGTAACCTGTTGTCAGATTCTAACCCCTCCAAAATATGGGAGGGGATGGAGTTTGGCCCCGGCCAAAACCTCAGATCTAAATTTTTTTTACCAAAGAGAGTGAAGGTGTGAGTTAAAAAGGGCAGTGGTGGGTGGTGTCTAGAGTGCGTGGTGGGGTTGCATGTACCTCCCCCCCGCTCTCCACCCTTGAGCTCCTACCATCTTTGCTGGATGAGCAACATTTCTCCCCCATCCCTGCTCGTTTCTCTACCAAGGTCTGGATTCCTCCTGGTGAAGAAGCAGGTAAGGGGAGAGAAGGGACTCTTGGTCCCAGAGAGAGGGGCAGGGCCTGCCCAGGGGTGGGGAATCACAGAAGTGTAGGACTGGAAGGGACCTCCATATATCATCTAGTGCAGTCCCCTGTACTGAAGGCAGGACTGGACCATCCCTGACAGGTGTTTGTCTAACCCAAATGTGGGAGCTGGATTGAGGGGCTCCCATGGGCTAGGAGAGGAGGCCAGCAAGATCCCAGGGTGTGGGGTGGCCCCAGACAGGAGGAAGATCATCCCCCAATTTGACCCCTTGGCTTCGAGATCTCTTCTGTTCCAGTGAGTCAGCCCTTGTGCTCTCTCTCTCTCTCCCACTTGCTCTCTCTTGCAGGCGTGGATACCCGAGCGCAGAAGCCGTCCACCAGCACCAGCCCTGGAGCTAAACGTGAGTTATAAATCACCCTGCGGGATTAACCCTTAGTGAACCACACTGAGGGGCTGTGCAGGGGAGCAGGCTGAACCATGCACATGGACAGTGGGGTCAGCACATCCCCTTGCTCGTCGGGAAGGGAGGGTGAGTCGAAGCACAGCTTGTCTGGGAGCTCCTCCGGAGCAGGGCGGCTTTGCCCCAGCTCAGGGCTCTGGCTAAATGGCCCTAGGTAGAAGCTGAAGGAGCCTGGCTACCAAACCCAGTGTTTCAGTGGGGTGTTTTTATGTCCCTCAGGGGAACATTTTGTGGAGCGGCATCGGGAGCAGCTGATTCAACGCGCCTCTTCAGTTGACAGAATCCTGGGTGTGCTGAGGCGGAGCCATTACCCGTTGGACGCGATGCCGCCGTCCGTGGGGCTGAAGAGAACAAACAAACGCCTCCCTGAAGAGCCAGAGGGTAAAATCAAATAGGGGAAAATGACTTCCCACTGCACCGCCAGGGGGCTGCACCCCAAGTCCCTCCCACCAGGGTCACTAGCTAAGATTGCCAACTCCCCCGGACCAGACGCCATTTTGTGGCAACAGTGTCCCCATTTTCAGCAATGGCGTCCGGTCCGGGAGCATTGGCAACCCGATCACTATCTCTGCTCTAGGCTATTACCCCACTTGCTGGGACTGGACGCTGTTTTTTAAGCAGCTGGGTGGTGCCAGGGCAGGAGCTGCAAGTGGGGTATAAATCACCCAGTAGCTTTAACTCTTCACTGACCAAACTAGTGACTCTGAAAAGATCCCGAGACTCCATGAATTCCAGTGAGCACTTCTCTGCTGCTATTGGTGTTAGGTGGAAGGTGTCCAGATGCTATGGCGATGGGGGGCAGGATGAAACTGATGACAGCATAGATCTGCAGAGCTGCCCTGTGTCAGGTTAAGCAGAAGGGGGTGGGGCAGAGAGAAAGCCGCTTCCCCAGACCTGGGGGGAGGGAGGTCCATAGGGGAAACAGCCACTGTGCTGAGCCCCTGGCTGTTGGCAGAGCTGATGGCACAGCAACCGGAGATCAGGTCCGAGCTCCACCCTCAGCTCCTCCTACTCTGGTTCTGACACCCTCGGGCCGGCTTCATCTGTGGACTGGGTCCCTGCAAAGACGGCAGAGGGAGCAGTGGGCCAGAAGGAAGGGATCTGGGGGTCAAATCCAGTTTGCAGGCTATATGTTCGACACCACTCCTCTGTGCTCTTCTGATCCAGCGAGTGACGCAATCCAGAGTCCTATCCTAGTTCCCAACTGCCAAAAACTGCTGCCTTCATTTCTTCGTTTAAATTTGTGCAGGGATGGTAAATGTTTTTCATGCTCCACCCCAGAGGCAGCTGTTCCCTTGTGTGCAGCAGCAGGGTCCAGAATGATCTTCAGTGTGGGTAGATTTAAACCCGGCTTGCTGTGAACTATGTGTTTGTGTAGGCAAGTCTCAAACTAGAGTTTGGTCAGTATTTTTCAATTTTCAACATTTTAATTTCAAAATTTACTCCCAATTTTAATGAGAGAAATTGTCAGAAATGTTTTGTTTTTTTAAGTCATGGACTAGCAAAAAATATGTCAAGAAAAAACACACCTCTTTTTTCAACTTTTTAATTTTTTTTCAACCAAGTTATTACTATTAGAATTGTGAAAGCACCTATAGGTGCCCAATCAGAGATCGGTCACTATAAGGCTGGTTGAAATGTGTCAGATTCTAAGAATTTGGAATTTTAATGAAGAAGCTGGAGGAAAATTCAGCCATTTTTGCAATTTTATTTTCCTGTTTTTTGACCGGCTGAATTCAAAATAACCGAAGCAAAAATGATAAACCTGACTTGTATTGTAGATCTCACTGAGATCCAGACATCAATCCCAGTTTGAAAAAAACACCAGGTTCCTTTGTAAAGTGCTATGAGAGCTACTGAGAAAAATTCTGTATTGCTCTTCCTCTCATCCATAGGACATTCAGGTCACATGGACTTTCCTCATGATGAAATTGACTTTGAAGAACTGATATCAGCATCAGGTGAGTGAGCACAATTGCCCAGGCGGTTGGAACATGCCCCAGTGGAAATTCACTGCAGGGTTGGACAAAAACAGCTCCAGGCCTGGGTGTCACAACACTGTTGCTTCAGGGGCTTGGGCTAATATTCTAAAGTCCTTCTGGACTTTTCCCTAAGGAAGGTGCCACATGGTGCTGGGACTGGATCCATTTTCCCCAGTCTGGATTAGACATGGGCACTGTCCTGGATTTCACTACCTCTGACTTCTTAAAATACCAGTTTTCAAGCTGTTCACATCCTCCTGTATGAGCGCAGAGCTAAGGTGATTTGGGGATATCTTGAGAGACCCCACTAAGGTCAGCAGAGTTAGGACCAGGTTCTGATCTCAGTGACCCTGGGGTTAGTCCATTTGGAGTCACTCCAGAATTGTATCCCTGTACCTGAGATCAGAATCTAGCCCTGACTCCATTGTCATCCGTGGGGTCACTCTGGATTTACACCAGGGTCACTGAGATCAGAATCTGGCTCAGAGTGTTTGGAATTTTGTCAGTTTCCATTTTTCTTTTCAGGATTCACCAGTGAAGAGACTGAATCCCACTCTAGTTCTGATGCAGAGATAAAGGCGGCAAGAAGTGGGTAGAGCAGAATATAGCTCTGCTCCTCTTTATCTAACATACACACTGGCTCATTGCAGCCAAAGGTGCTTCTGTCTTCACAGGACCAGTGGGGCCCCTCTTTGCTCTTTCTTCCTGACAATCACAATGCTATACAAGCGGGTAGCCTCAAACTCTCGTTGATTCATGATGTGCTTTCACTTCCTGTCCCAAGCTCCCTAATATTCTATGATTCTATGTTTGACACCACTGCTCTGTGCCCTTCTTATCCAGCGAGTGACGCAATCCAGAGTCCTGCCCTAGTTCCCAACTGCCAAAAACTGCTGCCTTCATTTCTTGCTTTAAATTTGTGCAGTGATGGTAAATGTTTTTCATGCTCCACCCCAGAGGCAGCTGCATTTCAGTGCAGGGCAGGTGATCCTCATCTGTACAGCTTGGAAAGTGCTTGGGGATTGCTCTGGGTGAAAGGCACCAGAGGGATGTTTTGTTATGAAGACCTAGATTGTGTCCTGTCCCGGTTGTGTGTGTGTTTGGGGGAAGGGGGGGAAATGGATGGGGGGCCAGTCAGACAAAGGAGCCTTGTCCCTTGTGTGCCCTGTGCGAGGACTGAGGATGGGTACAGCCCCAGCACTGAAGCAGGGAGCAGAGGGGCAGCTCTCTGTGTGACCCCGGGGGACAATTCACCCTATCCGGGCTTTTAAGGGGTGGGGAGGAGGTGGAGCCAGGACCTGCGCGCTGCACACTGGCCTGTGAAGCACTATAATCAGGAATTACCATTTATTTTTAAAAAGTCTCTTTCCTCAGAGCAGAGATTTGCAAACTTGGAGCAGCCCCCCCCGAGAGAGGGCATGGAGAAATGTTCGGCGGGGGGCAAACGGTGATGCTGTGCAGCTCATGCCAGCCCTGCATGGCGGGGCCCAGGCCAGCCCAGCAGCAACACCCTGACTCACCTCAGCGGGCCATACAGTTTGTGGGTCAATGTCAACATCCACCGCGACTGTTCCCATTTCCGCGCCTGGCAGCCTCCGCGCCCAGCGCTGGCCACCCTGGAAACCCGAGGGAGGAGGGGCCGAGGGACAGGTATTGGTCCAGCCCTAGCAGCTGCAGCAGCTACCACCTCTACTGGGGAGCCCACCAGGGACTCGGCAAGTGGAAAGCTGCACACGGGACTAGTGACTGTCCTGCCACCAGAGCCCCTTGCCGACCCCGGCCCTTCACCACAGCTCCAGGGCACAGAGCCCTGTCCTCTGCTGGAAAGAGCCTGCACAGGACAAGCGAACGGGGCTGTGCGCAAGGGCCGGGTGAGCAGAGAACTGTTCAGTAGCTGTGTCCTCCCCTCTGACCCTGGCCTTTCAGCTCAGCTGTTTGTTTTCCATGTGCACAGGGGCATGTTGGGGGACAGACAGGGAGCTGAGTGTAGACAGCCGAGACGACCCTACCACGGCAGGGACCAGTTGCCTTCCTCCAGTGCAACACGGTAAGTATCTTCCCAAAGGAAGTACCAGGCACCCCTTGTGGGTAGAGGGCACCCCTCTCCCCTGCCCCCTTAGAAAAAGTGGGGTGGGGGGAAGGGGCCTTGCAAGCAACATGAATCTCCAGATTGACTCAGCAAAAAAAAAAAGTTTGGGAACATCTGAGTTGGAGAATTGCAGGCTGGTGTGCTGTAGGTTTATACCCATTTGCCAGGCACTAACTGGCCATCTAGACAACCCCTTTAACATGTGTATTGGGCCATTGCAGCCAAAGGTCCTTCTTCCCTCACCGTACCAATGGGGCCACTGTATTTGCTCTTTATTCATGACAACCCCAGTTTGATAGAAGTAATGAGGGTTTTGCTCTGCCTCAAAAACTGGTGGATTCACACTTGGTTTTCACTCCCTGCCATCAATTCCCTTTTGTGCAGTGTCTCTGTGTGGCTGTTGGTCAGCTGCCATGTCCCATCCCAGACGTGGCTGCATTGCAGAACTAGGTTAAAAGCAAGTGTGTGGGTGGGTGGGTGGCAGGGGACAACGGATACTGGGCTAGATGGGCCCATGAGTCTGATCTGGGGTGGCAGGTAGCAGGTGGGGTCCTAGGCTAGATGGGTCCATTGGTCTGATCCAGTTCTCGTCCTAGCTCCCCAGGGCTGTATATCTATTAACTGTGTCCATGGGTGAATCCATCACAAAGGGGGCAGGATCCATTTTCCCTACTGCCCCATGCAGAGCTCAGCAGCTGTCACTCGCACTGGGCTATGAGGAGATTCACCCATGGGGGGCTCTGGGCTGTGGGTGACTTGCTCTCTCTCATTTGCTCTCTAGACTCCATGAGGAACCAGGGCCCCGTGTCTTACGCCTCCAAGGCTCACACTGTGTTCCCGGGTGAGGGCAGCCAAGTCACTGGACAAGCCCATCACAGTCTTGCCCCCACTGGTGAGTTCACTCTCTCTGACCCCCCACGCTCCTTTTCCTTCGCTGTTACATCCCTCCTCCCTTCCTCACATTTTCTCACTCCCCCACTCCATCCCTTCCTGCCATCCCCCGCATCCATCTCCGATAATTATAACTCACAAGAGAGGTCCATCCATCACTCACAGTCCCTCACTTTGTTATAGAAAGAATATTTTTTCATGGCTAACACTAGGGTCTTCTCTACATGAACACTTAGTTTGCAGCAAGCTGGGATGTAAATCTACCCCGCACTAGCCTGTAGTGCACTACGTGTCCATGTGGACCCTGCTGCCGTGCACTAAAAGTTCCCTAGTGTGTAGTAGCAGGGTCCACAATGACGCTCAATGTGGGGTAGATTTAAACCCGGCTTGCTGTGAACTAAATGTTTGTGTAGGCAAGTCTCAAACTAGAGCTTGGTCAGTATTTTTCAGATTTCAAAATTTTAATTTCAAAATTTACTTGCAATTTTAATGAGAGAAATTTGGGGAATTTTTTTTAAGAGTCATGAACTAGCAAAAAATATGTCAAGAAAAAAACACACCTTTTTTAAAACTTTAGTTTTTTTTTAACCAAGTTATTACTATTAGAATTGTGAAAACACCTATAGGTGCCCAATCAGAGATCGGTCTCTATAAGGCTGGTTGAAATGTGTCAGATTCTAACAATTTTGAATCTTAATGAAGAAGCTGGAGGAAAATTCAGCCATTTTTGCAATTTTATTTCCCTGTTTTTTGACCGTCTGGATTCAAAATGACTGAAGCAAAAAGGTTAAATCTAATTTGTATTGTAGATCCCACTGAGATCCAGACATCAATCCCAGTTTGAAAAAAACACCGGCTTCCTTTATAAAGTGCTATGAGAGCTACTGAGGAAAAATGCTGTATTGCTCTTTCTCTCATCCATAGGACATTCAGGTCACATGGAAGTTCTTCATGATCAAATTTCCGCTGAAGAACTGACATCAGCATCAGGTGAGTGAGCACAATTGCCCAGGGGGTTGGAACATGCCCCAGTGGAAATTCACTGCAGGGTTGGACAAAAACAGCTCCAGGCCTGGGTGTCACAACACTGTTGCTTCACGGGCCTGGGCTAATATTCTAAAGTCCTTCTGGACTTTTCCCTAAGGAAGGTGCCACATGGTGCTGGGACTGGATCCATTTTCCCCAGCCTGGATTAGACATGGGCAGTGTCCTGGATTTCACTACCTCTGACTTCTTAAAATACCAGTTTTCAAGCTATTCACCTCCTCCTGTATGAGCGCAGAGCTAAGGTGATTTGGGGATATCTTGAGAGACCCCACTAAAGTCAGCAGAGTTAGGACCAGGTTCTGATCTCAGTGACCCTGGGGTTAGTCCATTTGGAGTCACTCCAGAATTGTATCATTGTATCTGAGATCAGAATCTAGCCCTGACTCCATTGTCATCCATGGGGTCACTCTGGATTTACACCAGGGTCACTGAGATCAGAATCTGGCTCAGAGTGTTTGGAATTTTGTCAGTTTCCATTTTTCTTTTCAGGATTCACCAGTGAAGAGACTGAATCCCACTCTAGTTCTGCTGCAGGGATAAAGGCGGCAAAAGGTGGGTAGAGCAGAATATAGCTCTGCTCCTCTTTATCTAACATACACACTGGCCCATTGCAGCCAAAGGTGATTCTGTCTTCACAGGACCAGTGGGGCCCCTGTTTGCTCTTTCTTCCCGACAATCCCAATGCTATACAGGCAGGTAGCCTCAAAGTCCTGTTGATTCATGCTGTGCTTTCACTTCCTGTCCCAAGTTCCTATTTGTACAGCTGTTAGCCAGCTGCTGTGTCCCACCCCAGAGGTGACTGCCCGTATATTCCTTGAAAGCATGGAAAGGGCTGGGGAAAGATGACAGTATGTTAATAATTCATCCCTCCCCAGGGATCATCTGCCAACAGACCCTCCTACCCTCCACTGGTTCTGTGGCAGGAGCTGCAGATAAGTGAGGTTAAAACTGCCTGGGAGGGTGGAGAGGGGGTGGTTTGATGGGCTTTGCTCATGGTGGAGCAGAGAGCAACCAAACAGTCCCCTTGGCCTGTAGCTCTGACCATCCCCTGCTCAGACTCTGCCACTGCCCCCGTCACCTACATCAGGTTTAATCTCCAGTGCCTGCAGGATCTCTCTGGGCTCCCCCTCCCATCACTCCCCCAATCCACATCCTTCCCTCTCCTCTCGACTCCATGATCCCCTTCCCTAACCCCATCTGCCCCACCCCAGCCTCTCCCCCAGTGCACAGCTCTTCCCACAGGCCTCATGAGCCCAGCGCTCCCTACATAGCAGAAGCTTTGGAGTTGGGCAGACACACAGAACAGACCCGTCTGCAGGGCAGTTTGTCAGTGTAAATGCTCAGGTCCCATCACTCTGATTCAGGGATGGAGGGGGCTTGTTATTTGGTGCTGCAAGAATGTGACACATGAAAGGGCATTTCCCCCCCTCTCTGCCACAGATGAGACCAGCCGGAGTCAGAGTCCCACTGCCTGCCTCAGAGGACAGCACAAATGTAACTGGTGTTCCAGAGAGGAAGAGGTGGGGCTTGTGGTCTCTCTTTCTCTCCCCATCCCCTCCCCTGTTTGTCTGTTGGTCTATTGATCTCCCTTGAAATTTGTCTCTCTCAACTATACCAGAGAATCTTCTCCCTGCCTCTTCAGACCTGGGGCATCTTGGTCACCTGGGAAATGTCCCAGCTGATCACTGGTTCCCTCTGCCAGCCACACTGCCAGGCTCCCAGGCCACAGAAAGAGCCCCCAGCTGAGCACTTGCCCACACCTGCCCAGGTTCAGTCCTCGCCAAAGCTATTCACTGACCAGAAAACAATAACAACTACCTGAACACAGAATCAAGGTTTCCCAGAGGTATTCCGTGCCCTTTCAGCACGCCAAATTCAGCAAAACTCAAACTTCTAAAAACCAGAAAATACAGCCTTAAGGTACCTGCCCCCACAACCTTAACTCCACCCTTTTTGGACACTGTCCCAATATGCCCATACTTGCATTCTGCCTTTACTGATAGTGCACATCACATATGTAGCACTGAGGCAAACACACTCTCTTTGTCAAGGTAGAATTTGGTTTTGGTAAGATCTTGTCATGACCCACAGGTCTCAGACCCAGTCTACAGGGGAGCAGCCACCCTCCAGCCCTCCTACATGGGTCCTGATGTTGGCTTACCTAGGACCCATGAAGCTCAGCTCCAGCGTGAGGCTCTGCCCCTGAGATCCAATTATTGGTGCCCCAAAGTTGCAGACTGGCCCAGTGGCCCTACTTCAGCCAGCAGCAGGAACAGAAAGCTGTCTGAATGACTGGACTCCACTCTGGAATGTGTGCATTGTGCTCCTTGATTTCCTGACAGCCAGATCCAGCTTGACTCTTCATATCAGGCTTATGATTCCTGACCTCCAGTTTGTCTCCTGCTTCTGATCTCTTGGTATCCTGACCCAGCTGGCTCATGTCACCTGTCTTGTGACTGTAGACTGTGGCTCTGACCACTAGGTCTGGCTGCCCACCACCCAGCTGTCACAGCTGGATTCAACAGGAGCTGCATGCACCTGCTCAACGCTCAAACACTGAGCCTGCTCCCCAGAAACAACCCCTCACTTGTTCAATTTTACAATTCCTTCACTCTCTCTGTTACATCCCTTACT